CCTTAAAACGCATTAAAATTTATGACTTTCAGAAACCAACAAGTATATTTAATTTTAATTTTGCAACTAAAGTTTTGCTAGCGTTTATCAATAACAAAATTGTTCTCTATCATTACTAATAAGTTTTGTTAAGTTGGAGTCAGGTTTTCAAGATCAATAAGAAGCACCAATTTTCATAAAAACAACTCATGCCTTGACTTTGTTAAAAAGTTTGTGGTGGTTCTATTAAAAACCTAAGGATGATGACAGAATGTTTTTTTCTTCTGCTGAAAAAAATGAAAAAATTGACTGAAAAAATGAAAAAGGATTGTTTTTGTTATGAACCCTTCAGTTGGCAACTTTTATATTAATTTTCGTACGTTTGTTTATACAGATAGATCGATCACCGCGCAACGTGTCGCGTCCTATTTATCACGGAACGCTTCTGTTGTTTTTATTTTCTCATCTATAAATTTATTTCCTTCAGTCAGGAATAACGTCAAAAGATCTCGATAATATTTTAGATAGTCCGCGGAATATTAATTCAACTGAGACAATAATTCATGACCGGCTCTAAAATAAAAATAAAAAAAAACACATTATGTCTTTATGTAAGTTTTTTTATCTTATGTTTCTCGGCTCTTCTGCTGCACTTTGCCGCGCCAAGGTCGCCGATTTTATCTTTCTTTCGCAAATGCGTATATTAAGTCGCTCAAGTCTCTTAATAAATATTACGCGAAAGAGTATTCTTGATGGAAAAGAATTATGATTATTGTTATGACAAAAAAATATAATTATATAATGTGATCACGAAAATCTATAATCTCTCTCGGAATGCTTTGCAATATGGCGATGCGCGTTATCTCTGTTTAACGATGCCCTCTCATAGAATAATCATCTTTGTTACGTGCCCCCGTTGTTTCCACCCGTAGACACGCAATTCAGCTTCTTTGTGCAAATCAGCGCGGGTAAAAACCGGATTTTCGCTTGCTCGATACTTCTTCGAACAGTGCAGATAAAAGAGCCGCCCGTCCGCAATGCGACGTCGCGTTACACAGCGCACCGGACATGGACGCTTCTCTAACTTTTATCAATTTTGTCGTCCCCGCGTCATGTAATGTTCATCGACCGCGTGCTCATCCATCCTGGATGACAGCTCCAATTCAAGGTCGTCGATTCTGTACGGCCATTGTGACTCTTTTCCTCCCCCCTTTGCAGCACGCGACCCGACTTGCTCGGTCGAATTAAGCGGCGCGCGACACGCGTGTCGAAGCGCTCTCGATTGTTTGCGATTGTTGCGATAATGGTCACCGGGCACCAATCCGACGTAGCGGAGGAGCTCAGCCGTTCGAAGCCGCAGGACGACATATTGATTTCCTTCGCGGACTGGACACTGGCTCTATTATCGATCCGCTAAAAAGTTCAGGGCTGTCTCCGAGAGAAAGAGGCCGGAGTCTCGGAATCATTCTTTACCGTTTAATCATCGTTGATTGCTCGCACATTCTCGATTCGTAATTGACTGTCTATGGCACACGTTTTAAGCACAGCTTATTAGGATCGCGTGCCCAAACTGCGTTTGCTCAATACCAATAACGCTGAATTAGATTAAATTGATGAAAGTATGATTGCTAAACTTGAATAACTTAATTATCAATAATTTTGGAAGTTAGCATTTACATAAATCACATTTTTTCAATTTCTACGAAAACTAGCTTAGCAATTGTCAGTGTTAAATCTTTAAAAGTTTGGTAGTAATTAATATGAATAAAAATAGCTTAATGTTTAGATTTTTAAGGACAAAGAATGTTAATTACATCATTCATGAATATGTACGAAAATTAATATCACGTATAATGAATTGTCAATTGCAAAAGTGCGTATACATGAATTTGAACAACGAATTTATCTATGTATTTTTATGTATTCGCAGAGCACACGTCGGTTGATAAGAAACGATTGCGAATCGGTGAACAAATTTCGCGGATGATCGAAGAATGCTCGCCAGTCGGGATCTTCCGCGCGTTATTATTTGAGGAGAATAGAGAAAACGCAAAGAGTAAAAGAGAAAGTGTAAGGAAGACAGAGGCACTGCCGTGAGATGTTCCATCTTTTTTCTTCTTTTTTTTTTACAAGGAATACGTTTTGAGGCGTCTTGCATCGATCTTTTCCTGAAATTTGGACATATTCTAGAGTAGCCGAAAAATAAAGTGACGTTTCTATTTTTTTCTACGAGTGCTTTGTCGCACAGATTTAGGGGATGTGAGAATTTCTCGATGTAATTTGAAGTGTTCGACTAAGATCGGATAGGACTGATTAAAGCAACATTACATAATGCATAATGAATGATGCATACATGCATGAATGCATGCAGTCAACAATGCTTGTCCTCGTCGTTGCAATGACGTGCGAAACGTAACGAGCGAGTTTATTGAATAATATGATGTGCAAATGCACATGTACTTATTGTGCAAAAATGCGCGATATGACATTGATTAGTTCTTCATCTTTCTGTTTGAATAAAATTTGAGCAATTTTCAACACGTTTCACGTGACATAAAAAATACATGCAATTTGGTTGATCTTTCTATTTTTTTTTTTATATTTCCACAGTTTGAATGATAATCCATACAAATATTGAGTTTGTTTTCCAAGATCAAGTTTGTCCCTTAAATCAGCAATAAAGTACTTTTAGAGAAAAATATGTGTCCCTTATCTTAAGCTATTCTACAACGTATCTAAAGATCGTAAAAATCGGAAAGAGCGAACTCGAGACGTTTCCTTAGATCTGTGAATTTAGGTACTAACGTTGGTGTTAGATAATCGTGTGCCGTGTGCCGAGAAGTATTTATATTTCGTGCAGTCACCTACATACACGTTTGTCGTTGGTTTGCTGTTGTTTTGCCAACACGTGAAAGAATTTTTTTCTTGGATTGTTGCGTACGTTTTCCGCCTTATTATTGATACCACATTGAGAGCAACGTTACCATTTTTCACACCGACTTGCTTCCTACCGCTTTCCCGTCTTTAAAAGTCCTTCTCCAATGAAATATTCAACAAACATACGCACGCACGCACATACTACCTCCACATACTGTGCATACTGATGTTGATTTTTTATACTGAAAACATTTTTTTATGGAGAAGTGTGCCTTTTTTCTAAAATAAATTGTGTGAATATTATATGTACATTTCCTGTAGTTAAATTGATTGAATTGATGTTGAATATATTTTTGAAATGTCGATTTTTATATGTTCTCTGGTAATTAAAAAAAAATAATCGAATAGAGAAGTGATTTTTTTTCTTAATTAATGAATACTTAATTGATTTATAACGTGCACATGACTGATGCATAATTATACACTTAATTCACACATCAGTATGCATATATACAATATATTAGAAGACACAAGTTTTCTCTCAGCGAATAAATTTGCCAATGGATATGTCGATTTTTTCTGATAAAAATTTTATGAAAAATTACAGAATTATTTATTGTCAAAAGTTGAATTTAATGAATTATGCTTTAAGAATGTAGACAAAATCTGACATCTCAGTTAATCTTAAATAAAAGAATGCGGCCTTCCAAGATGCTTCCCATTTTTTTCCACTCGAATTTGACATCAGAAGAAAGTACTCATCAAGCTGATTACAAATATGTAAGGTGTAGCCTTCTACCGATCCAGAGAAAACGGACTCCAAACTTTTGGAGCCCATTTTTTCTGGATCAGTAGACACTTAGATATTTGTAATCTGCTTAAGTACTTTCATTTAATACCAAATTTAAGTACGATAAAATCGGGGAGCATTGTCTAAGGACGTTTGGCCGCCCTCTTTCATGAGAATTTTTAATGTGGCTTTAATTATGAAGATGCTTAATATCAAAAATTAGAAAGTTACTGATACGTTGAGGAAACTCGATTTGGCAGGAATTCATAGTTGAGAGAAAGCGCGTGACTTTTCTATATGTCCCGTACACAAATCATTTCTTTGCAGGTTCCGAAATTGCACATCTTGAAATACATAAAGATAAAATAATTTGGGAAATTAATTTTTTCAAGAAAAAAATACATAGAAAAGTCGTTTCGTGTATGATTGAGTGTAAACGTTTGAAGATATGCTACTTCGGGACTAAAATACCCTGTACTCTTACTCTTATTTACACACGATATCGTAAAACGCATATCCTGGATCCGATACGCGCGAAGATCGAAGAACTCGGTCCCTCGCTCACTCTGCCGTTTGGTGTTGCGTGCTTTTGGTGTTGGTAGAGAGCTGCTCGAGAGCGAAAGACCGTCGGGGCCGAGAATTTTCTTGTAACGCGAAACGCAATAAAGAAAGTTTGTTTTTCGCCGCGCGCGCGCGCGCACGCGTTCTTCCAACAGGCTTCTGGCACACTCTACGTGCCAAAGAATCGGCGATATAGAAACTACGCAAATATGAACTCGTCTCCAGTCGTCATCGATTCGCGGGACATTTAACGACCCTCGCCTTCATTTACGAGCATTAAGACGATCAAAAGAAAGGCAAACGAGTTTTTAAATATTTACTGCGTTCGAACAATCCATAATCGGCATCGCGAGCATTAAAACACGTTACACGAAGAGAATTTTCGCGCATATACAGTCACACCTAATCTCATAACACACAAGCATCACTCGCTACGTTACCTTTCTTTCCTCCCAATCCTATCAAGTTTCATAAAAAGAGAAGTATACGATTAGAGCGAACGAGATCCATCAGATTTATCCGCTGCGCCTTCTTCAATTAAAAATTAGGAACATCGAATATTTTATCTGACGGCTTTCGATCGCTCCAAAATAGGTGTATTTGTTTGCAAATTATTGTTTCGCGAACTAGACGGCATTTATTTGTTTATTTAATGCATCGTACTATAATTTTTGCCGTCGACACGCGCTGCAATTAATTCGCAAGCATCCGCCGCATTAGATCTTCGCGTGTCATTGCGCCCGTCAGGACACCGCATCAGCATCTTTCACTAACGGTCATTCTCGTTTTGCAGGGTACCACCGGGCTACGTGTACCAATCGCCCTACCTGGCGGCTGCCGCGCCAGGTGGTTTAGTGCCGCTTCCGGCGACGCAGTTGGGCCACGCAGCCGCTGTCGCCGCGGCATCGCAGTTCTACGAGTATCAGAATGCAGCGGCGGCCGCCGCCGCCACTTATCCGGGAACGTCCTACAACTTCGCCGAGGCGTATCCGTACACCACCGCGGCTGCGGCCGGTACGTGTTTGAATAACGTTCCGAGCAAGGGTAGCAACTATCCGATACAACACCATCACCAACAGCAACAGCAGCAGCAGCAAAACGGTGCCGCGACGCAATTGGCGCAACAGCAGCGGCTGGAGAAAGCTCTCCTGCCGCAATTTCTGCCGTCTGTGCTGCGTGACTACGGTAGAATTCCCAAAAAATAGAGAGAAAGAGAGGAGAGAGGGTTAGGCGCTCTGCACTTTTCTTGGGAGCTATTCGTAGTGCTTATTTGCAAGCGGGGTTCTCACAGAATCTGGTTTCCGCTGTCTTCGGCAGAGGGTTGAAAGTACACGGAATAATGAGAGGGGGATTAAAATATAACCTGATTTGCAGCTTCTAATACCATGGGAATAACGATCACAGTTGGAGGGGAATAATAATTCCGACGCATCGGATATATTTGGGGCGTGTCTGTTACCCAGCGGACGCAATGAAGTAGTGTCGCTTATTCTTGTACAAAATCCTTGAGCACTTCCTGAGTGTCCAAGAATCTTCCGTGGGAACTCTGCTGCGCATCTTTTGCGTTGGCACACATACCGCTTTCTCTCGAATTTGTTAATTCAATGTTTTGAGCTCGAAAATTCTGAAGATAATAAAGTAATTTTGCATTTTTTTTTCTTTTTTTTTTTTTTTTTTTTTTATCACATCAACGTTATATAATTATACCTTACAGCTTTCGCGCGCAAAATCCTCACTATTCGGTAGGTATTCGACAGTAGGAAAGAAATGAACAAGAAATAAAGTTTTGCATGCGCTTCACGAATTATATTATATATATATATATTGACGCATAATATATTGTCAATCTGTTGTGCTGTCTGTGGTGATGGTGGCGGTGGTCTTGAGTGATGGTCAACGAATGCCATCCGCTTTATGTATTATGAGTAAATGGCACTCGAGAAAGCTAAGACACAAGATGAGATTTGTTACTGCGCACAGCAAATCGCTTGCATATGCTTACTTATTTATTCGTTATTTATCTCGATAACCAACTATACTTCACGTAGATTATCTATATATACTGTAGTTTGGACTTACATTTTTTTACACGTAAAAAATTTTTATCAATTCTTGAGAAATAATAATTTCTTAATAAACGTTCCGTTCAAAGTTGTGACTAGTTATGAAAAAGGTATAATATTTGTGAAAGACAAATTTTCTCTCTTTTCCAGCTAATGCAGCGGCAGCGGGCTACGTCGCGCCGTATACCTACGCTACATTGCCAGGTGCTGCGAGTTTACCTGCAGCGGCAGCCGCAGCGGCAACGGCAGCTGGGGCGTTTCAAGCCTTGCCGTATCAAACGACACCTCAAGAGGCCAGATTGCAATAAAGCTTCGGCATTAGACCATCACTCATTAGAGACGGTTGCAACCGAGCCTTCTAAAAATGGGCGCAGAACTGTACGTGACATTCGATCCTCGTCTTCAAGGACCAGCTCATCAGCTTCCTTGTTAGCTATTCTTAGAGATTTCTATGTTCCTGATTTTATGTCTCGCTATTGGAATATCTTTGTGAGAATCGCAAGAGGCGAAAAGGATGTAATGGACGAAGTAACAGGATTTTTAGGATCTCGCGAACTCTCTGCAATCTACACTCTCTCCTTTTCACCTCTTCGATCTAATCTTCCTCTCCATCTTTTTTTTTCATAAAGCCAATATTGACGCGCTCGATCCACATACTGCGAAATATTTAAAGATATGCAATGCGTTATGAAATGATTATGATTAGAAAATATGGTTACAATTATTTCTAACGAGTTGACGAGCGCCTGTTCAGAAAAGTAACTCTCGACATACACTGGAAAAAATCGGCAAATTTACACAACTAAGATGTAAAAATGAACGATAATTAACAATTAAATTTACTAAATATATGTAAATTTATTATATATACACATACATATATATATAATATATAATAGTATATATAATATATATACATATACATATATGTATATATATTAAATATATGTAATATAAATTATATAATTTTAAAAAATATTTACTTATATTTCCGTTATTTATCATGTAATTTTTACATCTTAGTTATGTAAATTTACTGAATTTTTTTAGTGTATGAGAACAATTCAAAACTTCAGAGAATCATACATATGCAAAAAAGTTTGTTACAGACTTTTGATTACAATGCTATTTTCATATTTAACTTTATTTTGAAATATCAGAATGAAACAATACGTCAAAACGTAACCATGAACTCTTAAACCAGAAATTAAAACTTAAATTTATTGAAATTATCAATTATAATCCAGGCGTTTTACTATTCATTTTCATTTCATCTTCATTTCTAAATCGAACGCATTATTCGTTAAGTAATCTTAACCGTGTTATTCAATACATATGCAAATTTTCTTTCCAGCGGATACTCAAAGCTACGACCGCGTCTTTGACGAAGTCAGTCGAATGCGCTAAAAATACCGACGAAGATTAATGCGAGAGCTCCGTAGCATTTCGAGACCATCAACATGTTTCAGAGATGCGCGGTTTTCAGAGAGAGCATGTTTTAAATTTTAGATAAACTTTTTTTCGAGTAAATTTTCTAAAAATTTAATGATAAATAGATTTTTCATTTTACAAGATGTTAACAAGTTACATTTTCAGGCGTTTTTTAAAGATGAAATGTATTAACAAAGAAAAACTGACAACCTGTTAAGACGCCGCGGTTTTACAATCTGTTCTCTTTGAAAATATCTGCGTTTAATCTATAATAGATCAATTTTAGAATAACACTTAGGATAGCATTCATAGTCATTTTTAAATAAGAATTCCTTATTTTTCAAGAAACAATCATAAATATTACCAATAGATTAATCTATACATACAACACAGCGTGGCTAAAAAGTTCCAGGATAAAGATTGTCAAAAATTTAAACAATTATTTCTTATTCATATTCGATATTTCTCTTCATATTCGACAATTTCTACGACGTTCAACAAACATTCGACAAGACAAAATGCCTAGAAAATGTTTTTAAAAATCTTTTTTTAATGTTTTCTTAAATTTATTACTTTTTTGAATATCATTGGATTTGGTTCTAAAAATTATTTTTGAAAATTAAATTACGTCTATATAAAAGCGATTTGAGAATGTTGAGAATGTTCAAATAATGTAACTGAAGAATTAAAAAAGATATCAAAAGATTTCCAAGACGTTTTCTAGTCTTTGTCTTGCCGAATGTGTTGAACGTTATTGGAATTAAAACATCAAAAGCAATAAAATCTTATTTTAAACTTTAAAATCCTCTATTTAATTCAATTTCGAAACTTTTTAGCCATACTATGTGTATTATAATAATAAGCTATATCTTCCAAAGCACTTATACACCGAAATCTTAATTTATGCGCACTGTTCGTTTCGGCTCTCTGTTATCTATCAGAATATGTGTGATTTTACTTTTACACGTAAAAATATATCGATATTTATTACAGATTAAATATTACGCAAAGTACTAGTTGAAATATTAGCTGAGTTATCAGAATTGGATCACAAATGTAATTTTTTGAAAAAGGTTCGAAACATATATGACTATCGAAAATATCTAATCTAAACACAGTGGCCTTAAAATCGCACATCAGCGAAACGACGAAGTGTCTTACTTTTGAGGCCTTGTTATGTTAATTGATCAATCAATTATATTACACAAAGTAAAACATCGATCAATTTAGTAGCGATGCGAATCTACCGAAGTGTCATGAATCGAATTGATCGACAAGTCGTTTTTACTGCTACAGTTACCGAACTCAACGCTCTTTTTAATAACGTATTAATTTTTTCAACGATTAGTGACTTTGATGAGGTTGTTTGTACACGTTTCAAATATCGATTACTGCGAATGATCATTTTCTGATGAACATTTGATCTAATACAGAGCTGCACAGCTGGCTCGTGATGTGCATCGCGACGATAGCGCATCCGGCGAGTTGCGCAGCTCCGATCTAACAGACTTTTCTTAAACTCGACAAATATACATTCGTCTACTCTTAGTGATTCAGTGCCTTAATTAGCACAGTCGAGTAGTCGTAATGATTAGAAACTAGTCAGATTCGTTAGTGCTACGCTCGACGCGCTAACCCGTGTAAAGGAGTGAGGCTCAACGAAAGGGTGAGGAGCTAAAGAAATATCAAAACTAGAATCAACTAGGATCGGGTTATGAGGAACGTGGTTGTCTAGTCCCAAACCCTTTCGAACCTTCGACGAAGGTAACTCGATTTGTTAGATTTGTAAGTAGAGATTAACACGTATGGAGAAAACCAAAAGCAAAACTCTGTGTAAAAAGTTAGAAAGACGAGAAGTTTTAGGAGAACCTAGCGTTAAGTATTATTACATAACATAATAGGAAAATAAATTATTATTATTGTATTATTATTATATATTATTACCTTATTATTACTTTATTATTGACACATTATCACGTTTCATTATTATTATTATTATTAATATTATTATTATCATTATTAATTATATGCATTATTGTTCATGTACTTAATGAAGGAACGGAATGTATACGTCATTGAGAAACTTGTTAAAAAAAAATACGCTAAAGCTTCCGTTAATGAAAAAGACGGTGCAGAAAATTTGCAACGAAAACGCAAATGTACTCTTGTCACGAGTACGATCGTCTTTTTAAATATCCTATACTCTTAGGATTAATTGTATATAGGCTTAATTATAAATAGGTTGTAATATATATTGCCTGTTATTCTCAATAATATTAATATACGCTCTATTAATAGATTCACGGAAACCGAAAACAAATATATTGTCATTAAGAGAAAAATTCTACATGTGTATTTCATTAGTCAATTATACATATCCCTTTATCTTTTAATATCTCGATAAAATAAAATGTAAGAATTATAAGAGATATGATATTTTTATATGATACTAGATACTATCTAATTTTCGTGCTTCTTTGTGTGAATGTGGAAATACGCAATTTCACATTTTCACATAATCGTTATAGCCACTTATTAATTAAACAACAGAGAGCTGTGCTTTCGAATTGCTGTACTCTTGTTTTGTCAGACAGACGAGATTTCACCATCGTAACGTCAGTCTCATCATTTTCGGAGGCTAAAGATAAATCTAATAGCCTAGCGAGATTGGATGCAGAGCGTCGCGACAACGCAAAAACGCAACACAATTTGCAAAAACAAGCAAAAAGGAGAACCGCCCTCGTCGCAGTACCGTGACTACTATGCAAAAATAACTGAGCTACCGCTGCTAATGACACGATGATTCGGTACTTCTTGAACTTGCGGTGTATACAGGGTGTCTCAGGCCAATCGTATCACTCATTAATAGCAGATTTCTGAAGTCATTTGGAGATGAAAATCTGTATACCATAATGTCGAGGCTACAATAATTTTTAAATGAGAAGTATAAGTTTAAAGTTTGTGCGTATAACAAGTCAGATTGTCAAAAATTTACACATTTAAGCACGTCGCATATTGATTATTATATTCTTATATGAGAAACTTCAAAAAACTGGTTTTAATAGATGATATGAATAGTCTGAGACACTTTGTGTATTTTATATTATTTATAAATATATTCTCTTATGCCCTGCCCAGACTGAAAAATGAACCTACTTGTGGCTCATTCGAGTGGATAATTTGACAGGTTAAAATTATATTGAAATTGATATAATAAAATTATACTGAAGCTATCAATCGTATTAAATAATTTTTTTTTTATTAAATAAAAATTATTTGGATTGATACGATCATATTGTTAACAATATTGTTTGTTTCGCGAGAGGAGAAGAGTGCGAATAACTGTGTAAAATGTAAGTGTGTTAGTGTATACGTGTATACAGGGTGTTTTATAATGTCCGTGCCAACGCTCGTGTGCAAATAGAGTGCGGTAAACTGAATAGAAAAGTCCTTTACCGTTTTGCAATTTTCGCAAGAGTAATTGAGATATTAATTAAAAGGGATTGACGAATCGCGCGTTGCGCGTAGCTAGATCGTGGGCTTGTACACTTTAAACGTGACAACAACGAGGATCGCATGGTGTTACGTGCCGCAACTTATAGTTTCTTAGATTACTCTTTTTATTCGAACCTTTGAACCTTTTTTTATCTTTACTCCTTCTTGATCCTAAACACATGGCCCTTCGATAACTGCAATAAACATAAACGCTGTCCCTATGCCTAACGCATATTTTCCTTTTGACAAAACCACCTCCTTCCAATAAACATTCCGCCGCTACGATTTTCCTACAGCACCTTAAACGAAGATCATTCTCGCCAATTCAGTTCTCGATCAAAGCTCAAACCAGCAACACCGAATAAAGACTTTTTCCACAAACATGTCCCGACTTATTCTAAATAATCTATTACGTAACTATACGCTCGTAACAATGGCAACAAAAAATAACACGTAGCGAGAGCAGGAGTGATACGCGTTATTTTTCGTTGCCATGCGATTCTCATTGCTGTCACGCCTAGAGCGTACAGCCTACGATCTAGCCGCGATCAACGCGCGATTATTCGTCAATCCCTTTTAATTAATATCTCAATTACTATTGCGAAAATTGCAAAACGGTAAAGGACTTTTCTATTCAGTTTACCGCACTCTATCCGTACACGAGCGTTGGCACGGACATTATAAAACACCCTGTATATGACCGCAGTATGTAAGCTCAGGTCCGTGGGTTTACTAAGCCCAAATGACTGTGCGGTTCAGCATTCTTGCGGATATTCTTTTCCCTACATTATAGGTTTGTTCTTTATAGCTGAACTGGCTGCACTAGTTCAAAGTTTATCTTTCTTCTTCCAACGTAGAGGAAAAAAGATAAACTCTGAACTAGTGCAGCCAGATCACCTATAAAGAACAAACCTAATGTATGATATACAATCGACCCCTATAGCATCGATCATGGAATTTTTCCCTAGAAGCAGAAACGTGAAAAGTGAAAATTTCACAACAATTCGACAAATAGAATTGTCGAATTTACATAAAAGTTTTTATTTTGCCGCTTCTAGGCAAAAATTACATTAACGATGCCCAGATAGCAGCAAAGAAGCAGTACAGTCGAGAACTACGTTTACATTTTTAAGAGGAATAGCTGTGATTGGTCAGGTTTATAACTACGGATGTATTAAACCCACGAACTAAGGAATAGAGGGACTGAGTCTAAAGTCCTAGTTTAGGCGAGAGGGGATGGTAATTCAAGCGTGCGGGGGAGACTGCTTTCCGCCATATTGATGTAGCGATTCTCACACAGAGATTCTGTGTCTGTGACATGGTTACACTCGTGTAGTGGTGCCACTAGACATAACGAGTGACAAGCGTAAAGAGATTAGGCGGTTTTATTATTGTTGTACTATAAATTTTATAAAATACTTTAACTTTTATTACTCTGAGGCTCTGCATACAGTAGACAAAATATTAGAAATAGCAATAATCATTTAATATTAAAAAGAAAAATTATTTTACATCTAACAAGAGAATAAAATATATTAATTAGTTCCAATTCTTATTTCTTAATTCATGCATTAATTTTTCTAT